GTTTTATTTTTGATACTCTTATTCTTGCCTGTCGTTCTTTATCTTTTATTTATGTTATATATCCTCTTTTTGTTAGTATTAGTCCAAGCATCCTGCCTTCAGCGTCGTATGGGTATAGTTCCTGGTCGACTGTTACTGAACTTCTTTTCATCTTGGCTATTGGTATTATCTTGAATTTGTTCTTATTTGTCCTGATTTTCCATTTTTTCTCAGTCATTTATATTTTTTATCGCTCGTACCGTGTAGAGTGCCATAAATTGGGTTGATTTTCTTGGGTATGATACTATTTGAGTAATATCATCAGCAATCATTACATATTCGCTAAAGGGGGTGGGTTGAGGTGTGTGTGAGGTATAAATTGTATATAGTGTTGGAGAAAGGCATCCTCCTTGAGGTACTCCACTCTCAAGATTAAACATAGTTCCCATAAAGTTTCCTATTTGAATTTGTGCTCTCCTATCCTCTAAATAGTTACACAATATTTTTAGCAAGTGTTCGTTAAGTCCCAATATTAATATTTTATATTTTAAGCCTAAATGCCAAAGTTTATCAAAAGCCTTAGAAACGTTCCTTAAAATTATATTGATCTGGTTCCCCTTGCTTTTTTCTATTGCAATTATTTCCGTTATTGTAGCTATTGCAGTTAGGGTATTTCTATTGGGCATAAATTCATGTTGTCTATTGTTAGTTTTCCCCTGTTGTGTTAAAAAGGTTATAAGTCTTGAATTTAACATTTTTTCCAGTAGTTCCCGGTAATTTAATATTTCCTTATTGTCCTTACCCTCCTTGGGATTAAATATCATTTTGGCATATTTTAGTTTGTCTGGAAAGTAACCGGTTATTCAGCATGCGTTATAAATGTTTAATTGTGTTTTTAAAATGTTTTCAGGTAGATTTATGATCATATTTCGTGTAATACCCGTGAGACCGGGGGCCTTTTCTTTAAACTTCCTCAGACAGTGCATCATTTCTCCCATAGTTCTTATTTTATTATTAGGTAATAAGTTATAGTCTATATATTGCTTTGGGGTGATTCTATGTATTTATCTACCCACTTCGTCTTCTATACTTTCTTCGTGTTCACGATCAAAATCTTCATTTTCCTCATCTGATATTTTAAAAACTTTTACCCATTCCCTTTTGAATGCTGACTCTTGTTCATTTTCCTCGTACAGTTTTGATCCATTTTGGTCTTTAATGTCTGGTGTTTTTTGCGTGTTGTACCCAATCATCTTGTTTAAGGAAGTCCAAAATGTTTTTGTGTCTTTAGTCTTGTCGGCCGCCATTATAATATCATTCCATTTTTTGTTGTTTGCTTCCTTCCATGCGTCTCTCAATTTTATCTGCAGTGCTGTCTGCGTCGTATATAGCCATCTGTTACTGTCGTGTCTTTCCTTATACCTGTTTATTTCATTGTAATAGGTCTGGATTAATTTAACTTCTTCTGTTAGTCTGTTGTTGGGTAATGTTCTAAAGTGTGAAGTAGGAGTGTGTTTGGTTATAGATGTTTTTATTGCTGAGTGCAGTCTGTCCATTTCTGAGTCTGTCTTCTGTTGTTTTCCCTTGTAGGTTAATCGAATGGTGATTACCTAAGCCGTCTTTGAAGCTGTCCCAGTCTGTTTTGCTCATTTTCAGCCTCTTTTATTGGTATCTATATGGGGCTTGTTGGCAGTGTTAGTATAATTGGCAGATGGTCACTGCCTGTGAGAGGTCCTTGTTTTATATAAAGTTTTGGCACGAAATCATCTACTGAGTGTCCGCAGGATAACATCGTGTACACGGATTGGCAGCGAGAAAACTACTTCAGAGCGGTGGTGGAGGAGTTGGGTGAGGAGCAGGGACCTCTGGGGGTGGAGTATGACCACCTCACCCTTCATGCCTCACGCACCCTCCAACACCACCTCCCTCACAGCAACAAACTGGTCGACGTCTCCAGTGGCACCATGAAGATGCGTATGATCAAGAGTCACGAGGAGATAGCTGTTATTAAGGTGAGTCACCATGGCCCTGGTGTTATTAAGGTGAGTCACCATGGCCCTGTTGTTATTAAGGTGAGTCACCATGGCCCTGCTGTTCTTAAGGGGAGTCACCATGGCCCTGCTGTTAAGATGAGTCACCATGGCCCTGCTGTTATTTAGATGAGTCACCATGGCCCTGCTGTTATTAAGGTGAGTCGCCATGGCCCTGTTGTTATTAAGATGAGTCACCATGGCCCTGTTGTTATTAGTCACCATGGCCCTGACCATGGCCCTGAGTCACCATGGCCCTGTTGTTATTAAGGTGAGTCACCATGGCCCTGTGAGTCACCATGGCCCTGTTGTTATTAAGTGAGTCACCATGGCCTGTTGTTATTAAGATGAGTCACCATGGCCCTGTTGTTGAGTCACCATGGGTTATTAAGGTGAGTCACCATGGCCCTGTGTTATTTGTCACCATGGCCCTGTTGTTAGGTGAGTCACCATGGCCGTGCTGTTATTAAGATGAGTCACCATGGCCCTGTTGTTATTGGGTGAGTCACCATGGCCCTGCTGTTGATGAGTCACCATGGCCCTGTTGTTATTAAGGTGAGTCACCATGGCCCTGCTGTTATGGGTGAGTCACCATGGCCCTCTGTTATTAAGACTGTTGTTATTAAGATGAGTCACCATGGCCCAGCTGTTATTAAGGTGAGTCACCATGGCCCTGTTGTTATTAAGGTGAGTCACCATGGCCCTGCTGTTATTAAGATGAGTCACCCATGGCCCTGTTGTTATTAAGGTGAGTCACCATGGCCCTGTTGTTATTAAGGTGAGTCACCATGGCCTTTGTTGTTATAAGTGAGTCACCATGGCCTGTTGGTTATTATTAAGGTGAGTCACCATGGCCCTGTTGTTATTAAGGTGAGTCACCATGGCCCTGTTGTTATTGGGTGAGTCACCATGGCCCAGCTGTTATTAAGGTGAGTCACCATGGCCCTGTTGTGGTGGTCACCATGGCCTGGCTGTTATTAAGGTGAGTCACCATGGCCCAGCTGTTATTAAGGTGAGTCACCATGGCCCTGCTGTTATTAAGGTGAGTCACCATGGCCCAGCTGTTATTAAGGTGAGTCACCATGGCCCTGTTGTTATTAAGGTGAGTCACCATGACCCTGTTGTTATTAAGGTGAGTCACCATGGCCCTGCTGTTATTAAGGTGAGTCACCATGGCCCTCTTTTTTTTTTATTAAGATGAGTCACCATGGCCCTGTTTTTTATTAAGATAGCCACCATGGTCTCTGCTGTTATTAAGGTGAGTCACCATGGCCCTGTTGTTATTAAGGTGAGTCAACATGGCCCAGTTGTTACAAGAAGGTGAGTCACCATGGCCCTGTTATTGCACCATGGCTATAAGGTGAGTCACCATGGCCCTGTTATTAGTGAGTCACCATGGCCTGTTGTTGGTGAGTCACCATGGCCCAGCTGTTATTAAGGTGAGTCACCATGGCCCTGCTGTTGTCACCATGGCCCTGGGGTGAGTCACCATGGCCCATGCTGTTATTAAGGTGGTCAGTCATGGCCCTCTGGTTGCTGAGTCACCATGGCCCTGCTGTTATTAAGGGTGAGTCACGATGGCCCTGCTGTTATTAAGGTGAGTCACCATGGCCCAGGTTATTAAGATGAGTCACCATGGCCCTGTTTTTATTAAGATGAGTCACCATGGCCCTGTTTTTTATTAAGGTGAGTCACCATGGCCCTGCTGTTATTAAGGTGACCATGGCCCTCACCATGGCCCAGCTGTTATTAAGGTGAGTCACCTGCTGTTATTAGGTGAGTCGATGGCCCTGCTGTTATTAAGGTGAGTCACCATGGCCCTGTTGTTATTAAGGTGAGTCACCATGGCCCTGTTATTAAGGTGAGTCACCATGGCCCCTGTTATTAAGGTGAGTCACCATGGCCCAGCTGTTATTAAGGTGAGTCACCATGGCCCTGTTGTTATTAAGGTGGTGAGTCACCATGGCCCTGCTGTTATTAAGGTGAGTCACGATGGCCCTGTTGTTAAGGTGAGTCAAGTGTTTTATTAAGATGAGTCACCATGGCCCAGCTGTTATTAAGGTGAGTCACCATGGCCCTTACCATAGAGACCATGGCCCTGCTGTAATTAATTAAGGTGAGACCATGGCCCTGCTGTTATTCAGGTGAGACCATGGCCCTGTCATTAAGGTGAGACCATGGCGCTGAATTATTAAGGTGAGTCACCATGGCGCTGTTGTTATTAAGGTGAGTCACCATGGCGCTGCTGTTATTAAGGTGAGACCATGGCCCTGCTGTTATTAAGGTGTCACCATGGCTAGATATGTTTTATTTTGTATATTTTGTTATTCTCCTAATATTAAAGCGGGGCCACCTCGGCTGGGTCTCACTAGTCGGTAACGTTGTGAACCCCAAGGCCGACCTGATCATTATCAAACTACTGGGGCGTCAATTGACGTCACCGCGGTTGTTTGAGAATCGGCTTTTTTCACACTTCATTTTTCCAACATTCGCGGCCTGAGATCCAAATTTTCTTCTGTGGAGCACCATTTATTAACCTTAATTCACCTCTTCCCCGATATATATATATATATATATATATATGTACATATATATATATATATATATATATATATATATATATATATATATATATATATATATATATATATATATATATATATATATATATATATATATATATGCTGATAACCACAAGGAAAGAAGAAAACACGAAGTTCCCAAGCGCTTTCGTGTAATTCACATCTTCAGGGGTGAGTACCGACTAGAGAGAGTAATACAAATCAAGGTGTATATAAACAGAGGAGGGTGAGACCAGGTCCACAATGGTCAGGTATTAGGTAATGACCCTACTGTCTTTAAATAACGCACAACTTGGTTGGTGGTCAGGTCAGATGACTATATCTCTAAAATGAATGACCTCTTATGTGATACCACAACATATTCTAAACTTATAAATAATCCTCTCAACACTGTCAACACCCAGTTCAACAAAAAACTGAAGTCCCTATTGAGAGGCAAAGCTACGCTCATTAAACATCTTACTTCAACGTCCCCTCCACTGCCATACATGTACGGTGTAATCAAGACCCACAAGCCCAATAACCCAGCAAGACCCATCATTAGCTCAGTTGGGTCAATCTCTTATAAACTATCTAAATGGTTAGTTTCTTTACTAAATCCCCTAGTTGGCAACATTTCTAACTCCAATATCAAGAATAATACGGATCTGGTTGATAAACTCAATAACTTACACATTAATCATGATTTTAAACTGGTCAGCTTTGATGTAACGTCACTCTTTACAAAGGTCCCAGTTGATGATTTACTAGAGTTCCCCATAGATTCCCTGGATAACATTTCACTGCCCGTCTCGAAAGACGACTTCATCGAACTCATCAAACTATGTATTAAGGATTGCAAATTCGAATTCAATGGGGAATATTATGCTCAAAAATTTGGTATGGCAATGGGTAATCCACTCTCACCTGTATTAAGCAACCTATATATGGAATTCTTTGAAAAGAAACTATTAAGTAATATTTTACCACCCTCAGCAGTCTGGTTTATATATGTTGATGATGTATTATGTCTCTGGCCATGTAATGAGGACCTAAAAGCTTTCCTGCCACAACTTAACAACTTAGCCCCCTCGATCAAATTCACTGTGGAATTAGAGCAAGACTGTAAATTGCCATTCCTAGACTGTCTGATACACAGAATAGGTAACACTTTTAAGTTCAGTATTTATAGAAAACCAACTAATGTGTGTTCATACATTCATTATTATTCTGCCCACCATAATAAAGTCAAACAGTCAGTATTTTCAACAATGTTTTTACGTGCCTTGAGAATTTGCAGTCCGGAATTCATCGATGAGGAATACAAATATATATATAATATTGGCTCAAACCTTAAATACCCTAGATCTTTCATAGACAAATGCTTAAACATTACTAAGAAAACTTTTTATAGAACTGACCCCAAGCCCACCCATGACCATAAGAATATCTTAATATTACCATTTCACAAAAATTTCTCACACATTCCTGCACAGCTAAAAACCTGGAACGTCAATGTGGCATTTAAAAACTCATGCACTGTTAAACAAATGTTAATCAAGAACTCCCCCAACAACACAATTGGTTGCATTTATAAAGTTCCTTGCAAGGAATGTAACATGTTTTACTTAGGCCAGACAGGTAAAGATCTTGCAACTAGAATTAAACAACACAAATACAGTGTTAGGACAGGCCAGGAATCCAATGCTCTGTTTGTTCATTTGAGGGATAACAAGCATTGCATTGACTGGGATAATGCCTCCTCAATATTACCATGTAATTCAATTGATAGTAGGAACATCATAGAATCTAGTCTTATTAAACATACCGAAGCATTCAACATGAATTTGAGTAACGGCATGTACAAGCTGGACAATTTTGTAATTAAGAAGATTTGTGATCAGGTGAGAAGGCCGGGTCACTTGACCATCTGACCTGACCACCAACCGTTGTGTGCTATTTAAAGATTAGTAGGGTCATTACCTAATACCTGACCATTGTGGACCTGGTCTCACCCTCCTCTGTATATATACACCTTGATTTGTATTACTCTCTCTAGTCTGTACTCACCCCTGAAGATGTGAATTACACGAAAGCGCTTGGGAACTTCGTGTTTTCTTCTTTCCTTGTGGTTATCAGCATATATATATATATATATATATATATATATATATATATATATATATATATATATATATATATATATATATATATATATATATATATATATATATATATATATATATATATATATATATATTATGTGTGTATGTGTGTTAGTAAAAAAATATTAAATTTGTAATGTTTTGTTTGATTTATCATCATAAAAAATAATGAGCTATTTTACTTACATAATTATAAGACTAAGTGATATTTATTTTGGTAATTTGGCTTACCCTCAGATCTAGCCCTAGAGGCATGGTTATCAGTCTGATGATTATGAATTTAATGTTATAAAAGTTACCTTTGACAAGTTGATTAATTGGTAACAAAAACCTGACCGTAACAGCGGTCAGTAGTGTGTACATCCTGCTGCGTGTACTCTGAGCTGGGTGTACTCTCAGATGAGTGTACTGTGCATTGTTTTCTGTACATTCAGCTGTGTGTACTCTGAGTTGTGTATACTGTACTCTCAGCCGTGAGTACATTAAGCAATGTGTACATCTCAGACAGTGGCCATCAATGTGGGTCTTATGGTATATCTATGTCAGTTAACATATACAGTATAAAGACATATATGGTTCTTTACCCACTAGTGATGATGGAGAGGGAGTAAGAAGAGAAAGGAATTGATCGTGTTTGATGTGTTTCCCCAGAACTGCGCAGCCACGTCAGACGTGGGTGGTTGGGCGTGTGCTGCAGCACTAGGAGAGGGCGTCCCTGAGTACGAAATAGCTCTGGCAGGCACCCGCGCCATGATCAACAACATCGCTAAACTCTACCCAGACAGTGAACTGATGGACAGTGAGTAACCTACAGTAGGTGCTAGGGGCTGGGTAGGAGGTGTTGGGTGTTAGGTTCGGGTTATTAGGTGTTGGGTGACAGGTTCTGGGTACTAGGTGTTAGGTGCTAGATTCTGGGTACTAGGTGTTTGGTGCTAGATTCTTGGTACTAGGTGTTTGGTACTAGATTCTGGGTACTAGGTGTTTGGTGCTAAATTCTGGGTACTAGGTGTTGGGTGACAGGTTCTTGGTACTAGGTGTTGGGTGACAGGTTCTTGGTACTAGGTGTTGGGTGACAGGTTCTGGGTACTAGGTCTTAGGTGCTAGATTCTGGATACTAGGTGTAGGGTGACAGGTTCTTGGTACTAGGTGTTGGGTGACAGGTTCTGGGTACTAGGTGTTGGGTGACAGGTTCTGGGTACTAGTGTTGGGTGACAGGTCTCTGGGTACTAGGGCATTGGGGTGACAGGTTCTGGGTACTAGGTGTTGGGTGACAGGTTCTTGGTACAAGGTGTTGGGTGTCAGATTCTGGGTACTCCTGGTGTTGGGTGACAGAAGTTCAGTACTTGGTGTTGGGTGACAGGTTCTGGATACTCAGGTGTTGGGTGACAGGTCTTGGGTACTAGGTGTTGGGTGATGTGGGTTCTAAGTACTAGGGTGTTGGGGTGACAGTTCTTGGGTACTAGGTGTTGGGGTGACAAGTTTTTTGGTACTAGATGTTGGGGTGACAGGTTCTGGGTACTCAGGAAATGGGTGATTGGTGGTTCTGGGTACAAGGTGTTGGGTGACAGGTTCTGGGTACTAGGGTCTTTAGGGTGCTAGGATTCTGGGGTACTAGGTGTAGGGTGACAGGTTCTTGGTACTAGGTGTTGGGTGACAGGTTCTGGGTACTAGGTGTTGGGTGACAAATTCTGTGTAGTAGGTGTTGGGTGAGACAGGTCTTGGGTACTAGGTGTTGGGTGACAGGTTCTGGGTACTAGGTGTTGGGTGACAGGTTCTGGGTACTAGGTGTTGGGTGACAGGTTCTTGGTACTAGGTGTTGGGTGACAGGTTCTGGGTACTAGGTGTTGGGTGACAGGTTCTTGGTACTAGGTGTTGGGTGACAGGTTCTGGGTACTAGCTGTTGGGTGACAGGTTCTGGGTACTAGGTGTTAGGTGCTAGAATCTGGGTAGTAGGTGTTGGGGTGTGACAGGTTCTTGGATACTAGGAATTGGGGTGATGGTTCTGGGTACTAGGAGTTGGGTGACAGGTTTTGCACTAGTTGTTATGACTGATTCTGGGGCACTAGGTGTTGGGTGACAGGTTCTGGTACTAGGTGTTGGGGTGACATTCTGGGGTACTAGGTGTTGGGGTGACAGGTTCTGGTACTAGTGTTGGGTGTGACAGGTTCTGGGGAAGTACCAGGTGTTGGGGTATTGGTGTTCTTAAGTACCAGGTGTTGGGTGACAGGTTCTGGGGTACTAGCTGTTGGGCAGGACAGGTTCTGGGTACTAGGTATAGGTGCTGTGAATCTGGGTAGTAGGTGTTAGGTGCTAGATTCTGGGGTACTAGTGTTAGGGGTGACAGGTTCTGGTACTAGATGTTGGGTGTGACAGGTTCTGTGGGTACTAGGTGTTGGTTTGATTAGGCTCCTGGTACCAGGTGATGGGCAGTGACTGGTTCTGGGCACCAGGTAAAGGTGAGACAAGTTCTGGGGTACTAGGTGTTGGGTGACAGGGTTCTTGGTACTAGGTGTTGGGGTGACAGGTCTTGGGTACTAGTGTTGGGTGACAGGTCTGGGTACTAGGTGTTGGGTGACAGACCCCACTAGGTGTTGGGTGACAGGTCTTGGGTACTAGGTGTTGGGGTGACAGGTTCTTGGGTACTAGGAAATGGTGGACAGGTTCTGTGGTACAAGGTGTTGGGTAACAGGTTCTGGGTATAGTTTTGGGTGACAGGTTCTGGGTACTAGGTGTTGGGGTGACAGGTTCTTGGGTACTAGGTGTTGTTGTGACAGGTTCTGGGGTACTAGGTGTTGGGTGAATAGTTCTGTTTCAGGTGTTGGGTGACAGGTTCTGGGTACTCAGGTGATGGGTGACAAGTTGTGGGTACTAGGTGTTGGGTGACAGGTTCTGGGTACTAGGTGTTGGGTGAAACGTTCTGGGTACTCGGTGTTAGGTGCTAGATTCTGGGTACTAGGTGTTGGGTGACGGGTTCTTGGTACTAGGTGTTGGGTGACAGGTTCTGGGTACTAGGTCTTAGGTGCTAGATTCTGGGAACTAGGTGTTGGGTGACAGGTTCTGGTTACTAGGTGTTGGGTGACAGGTTCTGTGTACTAGGTGTTGGGTGACAGGTTCTTGGCTACTAGGTGTTGGGTGATAGGTTCTGGGTACTTGGTGTTGGGTGACAGGTTCTGGGTACTAGGTCGTAGGTGCTAGATTTTGGGTACTAGATGTTGGGTGACATGTTCTGGGTACTAGGTGTCGGGTGACAGGTTCTTGGTACTAGGTGTTGGGTGACAGGTTCTGGGTACTAGGTGTTAGGTGCTAGATTCTGGGTACTAGGTGTTGGGTGACAGGTTCTTGGTACTAGGTGTTGGGTGACAGGTTCTGGGTACTAGGTCATAGGTGCTAGATTCTGGGTACTAGGTGTTGGGTGACAGAATTCTGGTATTATAGGGGTGTTGGGTGACAGGTTCTTGTGTTAGGTGTTGGGGTGACAGGTTCTGGTACTAGGTGTTGGGGGTGACAGGTTCTGGGTACTAGGTGTTGGGGTGACAGGTTCTGGGTACTAGGGTGCTGGGTGACAGGCTCTTGGTACCAGGTGTTGGGTGACAGGTTCTTTTGTACCAGGTGTTGGGGTGGACAGGTTCTGGGTACTAGGTCTTAGGTGCTAGATTCTGGGTACTAGGTGTAGGGTGACAGGTTCTTGGTACTAGGTGTTGGGTGACAGGTTCTGGGTACTAGGTGTTGGGAGACAGGTTCTGGGTACAAGGTGTTGGGTGACAGGTTCTCGGTACTTGGTGTTGGGCGACAGGTTCTGGGTACTAGGTGTTGGGTGACAGGTTCTGGATAATAGGTGTTGGGTAACAGGTTCTGGGTACTAGGTGTTGGGTGATAGGTTCTGGGTACTAGGTGTTGGGTGACAGGTTCTGGGTACTAGGTGGTTGGGGTGACAGGTTCTGGGGTACTAGATGTTGGGTGACAAGTTCTGGGTACTAGGTGTTGGGTGACAGGTTCTGGGTACTAGGGTGTTGGGGTGACAGGTTCTGGGTACTAGGTGTTGAGGACAAGTTCTTGGGTACTAGGTGCTGGGTGACAGGTTCTGGTACAAGGTGTTGGGGTGACAGGTTCTGGGTACTTCCTGTGTTGGGGTGACAGGTTCCTGGGGTAATGGGGTGTTGGGTGACAGGTTCTGATACTAGGTGTTGGGTGACAGGTTCTAGTACTAGGTGTTGGGTGATAGGTCTGGGTACTCAGGTGTTGGGTGACAGGTTCTTGGTACTAGGTGTTAAGTGACAGGTTCTGGGTACTAGGTCTTAGGTGCTAGATTCTGGGAACTAGGTGTAGGGTGACAGGTTCTTGGTACTAGGTGTTGGGTGACAGGTTCTGGGTACTAGGTGTTGGGTGACAGGTTCTGGGTACTAGGTTGTTGGGTGACAAATTCTGTGTACTAGGTGTTGGGTGACAGGTTCTGGGTACTAGGGGTGTTGGGGTGCAGGGTTCTGGGTACTAGGTGTTGGGGTGACAGGTTCTGGGTACTAGGTTGTTGGGTGATGTTCCTGGTACTAGGTGTTGGGGGCACAGGTTCTTGCACTCAGGTGTTGGGTGACAGGTTCTGGGAACCAGGTGTTGAGTGACAGGTTCTGGGTACTAGGGTGCTAGCAGACAGGTTCTGGGTACTAGGTGTTGGGTGACAAGTTCTGGGTACTAGGGTGTTGGGTGACAAGTTCTGGGTACTAGATGTTAGGTGCTAGATTCTGGGTACTAGGTGTTGGGTGACAGGTTCTGGGTACTAGGAATTGGGTGACTGGTTCTGGGTACTAGGTGTTAGTGACAGGTTTTTGGTACTAGGTGTTGGGTGACTGGTTCTGGGTACTAGGTGTTGGGTGACAAGTTCGAACTAGGTGTTGGGTGACAAGTTCTGGGTACTAGGTGTTGGGTGACAGGTTCTGGGTACTAGGTGTTGGGTGACAGGTTCTGGGTACTAGGTGTTGGGTGACAGGTTCTGGGTACTAGGTGTTGGGTGACAGGTTCTGGACACTAGGTGTTGGGTGACAGGTTCTGGGTACTAGGTGTTGGGTGACAGGTTTTGTATACTAGGTGTTAGGTGCTAGATTCTGGGTACTAGGTGCTATGTGCTCGATTCTGGGTACTAGGTGTCAGGTGCTAGATTCTGGGTACTAGGTGTTGGGTGCCAGGTTCTGGGTACTAGGTGTTGGGTGACAGGTTCTGTGTACTAGGTGTTGGGTGACAGGTTCTTGGCTACTAGGTGTTGGGTGACAGGTTCTGGGAACTTGGTGTTGGGTGACAGGTTCTGGGTACTAGGTCGTAGGTGCTAGATTTTGGGTACTAGATGTTGGGTGACATGTTCTGGGTACTAGGTGTCGGGTGACAGGTTCTTGGTACTAGGTGTTGGGTGACAGGTTCTGGGTACTAGGTGTTAGGTGCTAGATTCTGGGTACTAGGTGTTGGGTGACAGGTTCTTGGTACTAGGTGTTGGGTGACAGGTTCTGGGTACTAGGTCATAGGTGCTAGATTCTGGGTACTAGGTGTTGGGTGACAGGTTCTTGGTATTAGGTGTTGGGTGACAGGTTCTTGGTGTTAGGTGTTGGGTGACAGGTTCTTGGTACTAGGTGTTGGGTGACAGGTTCTGGGTACTAGGTGTTGGGTGACAGGTTCTGGGTACTAGGTGTTGGGTGACAGGTTCTGGGTACTAGGTGTTAGGTGACAGGTTCTGGGTACTAGGTGTTGGGTGACAGGATTCTGGGTTCTGGGTGTTGGGTGACAGGTTTGGGTACTTGGAAATGGGTGACAGTTTCT